GGTGCCAGAGCAGCGAATAGCTTTGACTGGGCTGAGCGGGAACTGTGCTTCCGTAGAGGTAGGGGGGCTAGCAGGCCAGAGGTGGATGAAAGTGCCCTCGTTTGGGTGTAGGGTCTGATCAGAGCCTGAAGGTAAGGAGGTGCCGTTCCCCTCATAGCTCCGTAGGCAAGCACCATGGTCTTGTAGTAGATGCGAGCCTCAACTGGAAGCCAGTGGAGTGTGCGGAGGAGCGGGGTGACATGAGAGAACTTGGGAAGGTTGAACACCAGATGGGCTGCAGCGTTCTGGATAAGTTGTAGGGGTTTAATGGCACAGGCAGAGTGAAATTGGGGGGAGGGAGTCAGAAGTGCAGAGAAATGGAGGGAAAAGAGAGGTAGGCAGAGAGAGAAGAGAGATGTGGGGGAAAGGAGGGGAGGTGTGAGTTGGGCCATCCACTTTCACACCAACTTCAAATCACACCTACTCTGCTGTTATCGAACCACATCACTCATCAAAGAGTGTGAACTGAAAATAAAGTCTCCTGGTGATTATTTTGTATGACATGTTTTATTCATGATTTCAATGAGAACAAGGGTACAGGCAATCACCTACAGATTCCAGAGAGATAGATCACTTTTGGAGTATCCATTTCTCTCATGAGCATAGGGAAAAGACACACCCCTGTCCAGCCAGGCTGTATGGAATGGTTGGTGTAGGATGAGGACATACAGTTCATCATACCTGGTGTGTGTGGAACCTCCTGTGTGTGTGTGTGTGTGTGTGTGTGTGGAACCTCCTGTGTGTGTATGTGTGTGTGTGCACAGCAGTCAGAGACACACGAGGCAGACATGGTGCTGCTGTCTGTTCGGCCGTGTGGTGTATCTGTGTGTGTGTGTGTTCTGTGCACCACCTGATGTATTCACTGCTCCTTCAGGGTCCTCATGTGTTCAGCTCATCACATGACAGGAGTGGCTGAGAAAGAGAGAGGGCTCTTTGTGTTACGGTTTAGTAACCCCACTCCACTGACAGCAGCACACTCACCAACGCGTACACACTCACACACATGTGCACACACGCATACAAAACACGCTTGTGCACAAACACGTGCCCATATCATATCACTCAAAAAAGAGTGAAGAATCTCATTGGATTCAGACGTGCACTGGTTACCGCTGTATTTGTCAGTGTTATGGTGACACCATTTGGTCAGAGAGGATACTGCACCAGCTGCAACAATCACTGTGAGACGATGCTCTCACCTGTATGCTGTTTCAGGTACAATCATACCACCTGCATTTTGAATGGAGCAATGGGATAGGACATATTCCACTGACCCATATTCCATATGGCTTGATGAACAGGAAATGGGGGAGATGCCATGACAACAAAGCGTCCACTGTGGGGGTAGTGATGTCATAGACTGCCAATGGAGTGACCTCTCACCTTTCTCTCATACAGTATCCTGATTTTGCAAATCGGGACTTTTTTCAGTTGGGGCAGTCTCTGTTATGTAGTGTGGTTGGTAAATGGTACTCTGTAGCCTAGATTTATGTGATCCTTTGTGTATGAATAGTGTGTATTATAGTTTTTATGTTTGAGCCCTGCATGCAAACCATTGATTGTCTTGATTAGAGCCCTTCTTCCGTCACTCAGACATCACACTCACTGTTGGCCACACACACACATTGCTTTTCATTGTCACCAGATTTGGGACAGAATTTGTTCTGTACTTGTGGAGTTTCTTGGCTACCACCACAGAGACACAAAGCCAGTCATCCTCAACAGCGCCCCGTTACAGAGAGAACTAGAGGAGGAAATCAGGCGTTTAGAGCAGAGCACTGCCTGCAGCACTTTTGCCTCTCTCCAACCATCTCTCGCTGGGATAGATTATTTAACTCAATGAATGGTCCTTTTGTTTCAATTCTACTTCTGTAAGATTGTTATTAATCAGAATTGCACGGTGGTCTAAAAATGCAATTCATAAACTTGGACATTAGAATCAAATAAATCCTTCCTTTTGTAGAATGACAGCATCTGAATGGGACCGATAGTTTTATTAGTTGTACTGTTTATCTGTTTCTGTATATTGGATCCATTTTTATTTTCTGAAAATCAATAGAGCTCTACATATTCTTGCCATAAAACCGTCCACGTGGTATGAAACTGTTGCATGAGACAAACGGGGCAAGTCTTTATGACTCATGGAAACTGGTCCTAACGGAGCATGGACAGGAAGTGACTGGGGGTTGACAGGTCAAGAGTCACCGGGTTTGTTTGTATGTGGGAGTATTCTTAATACACGGCATAAATTATAGATAAGAGAGAGGGAAAGGAGAGAAAAAGAGAGTAAATGGGAAAAACAAGAGGAATAGATTTATCTAGAGAGTAAAAGAGAAATAAAGGTGGAGCGATGTTGAGAACAGAACAAGAAGATGGAAAATGACAGGAGGAAGAGAGAAGACAAAGGGTGAGGGCAGGGAGAGAGGAAAAAGAGGGGAGCCAGATGGAAGGTGGGGTTGGAAGTGTTGTGCATTGTGTGAAATTTGATCATGTCATGGAGGCTTTACAGACAGCTGGGAAGTCCCCCCTCAGTTCTCTCTCATTCCGTTTCCTAGCTGGGGATCTTTTCGGAGGGGGAGCAAGCAGCATCAAACTGGCTCCACAGTTAACTGTTAATTTACTTACAGTGGGAGAGTTTGGAATGAAAATACACACAGGACACCTGGTCTTTTTAGTCACATTTATTGATTTTAGCCAGTATGACTACCTTTACACAGACATAACACCTCTCTATAGGAAAACAAAACAACACTTTCATAGGATTCGTTCAGCAGTAATACATTAGACTAAACTCATTTTTTCATCATTTTATTTTTTCACTTTTTAAACTTTCAACATCTCCAAAGTTATAGGTTTGTTTTCGATTCTGTGTAAAGGTTCCCATGACTGAAAAACATGCATATGACAATACGTTGTAATCAATATGCCACTAATTATAATGCACATTATTGATAAAAATACAGTACTGCATGACAATTCAAATAAATACCAACATATAGATTAAGTTGTTATTTCATATAAAGGTATCAAACTCAATATGGATCAATACTGAAACACAATATGACAATATCAAGTTTGCACGGCTAGTGTATTATCACAATGCTATCGCTTCCAGCAAACAGAAAACGTTTATTTTCCTTGTAAAACAGCATTTAAATTGCACTTTATTTTCTCCTTATTCTTAGCTTCCCAACCGTATTGATAACTTTTTACGCTTCAACAAACAAGCATTGGCTATGATGGCACTATTCAAGCTTGTTGATGCAAAATCTGTTTTCTGTTTCCTGAAATCACAATGCTTTAATATATGATGTAAAAAAAGATTCAAGAATAAAAAAACAAAAACAAACAAAAGCAAAAATGCGCTCTCTGCACATTTGCCAACAATACTATTGATATTACATTACCTTCACCATACAAAGCTAGAGATCATGTCAATGTTTCCAATAGTACACTGATCTGCCCAAATACAGAGTGGTGTTTGGAACATTATGTTCAATATGAGGCCAAAGGGATTTATTTTTGTTCCCAAAGTTTTATTTAAAAAAAAAAATACATTTTCTCAAAACCCCTGAATTTGCTGTTGGGATCACTGACCTGCAGAATTCAATACAATATCAGTTGAATTTAGCTAATTTCTTAACGATCATCTCACTCCTGCAAAAAGGGCTACTCCTCTTTGCATTTATTGCTGCTCACAAAGTCATTAAACCCAAACTCCTCCCCTAAAAAACGAACACAAAATACTAGTCTACGATTCTCTCTTGAAACAATGAAAGGCACTACTGGTCAGAATGAAGAACAAAACAGACCCAAAACAAAACCCGGGTAGCGCTTCGGCAGAAAGCCACGGCCCCAAACCACACCTTTCTCACTGATGTACAGCTTGTCTTTCTGATTCTTGATTCTTTTCAAACCTAAACGGTGTACCAAGATTTGGCACAATAAACAAAGAGAGAATGAAACAATTCCAATTTGGAATTTAATCGTTGCACTTGCAGAGAATTCTGTGAGCCAGTGATCCCTTATCAGTGTGACACCCCTGGTAAGAAGATGGAAAAAAAACTAAATCATTTTGTCACTCCATTTCCCCCCCCCCCCCCCCCCCCCCCCCCAATAACTTCTTACCATTTTTTGAGTCAGAGCGTCGTCAAGTTTCTGCGCGTTATCTTTGAACTATTCCTAGGAATAATAAATACATGAAAACCCCAGAATTAGCTCACCCTGGATTTTGTTTAGAACATGGCAGTAGAACATACATAAAATCAAACCAACAGCATAATAAAATAATATTATGAGACAGGATGGTTATTCAGATGGATCAATTCTCAGACGCACAATAACAATAAATTGACTCTGGTTTGTGGTGTGACTTTAGGAGAGTAAATGGTCTCTGTAGATGGTACAAAGAGACAATATACAGGAGGAAATATATTCCTATTAATATATGTGTATACTTGACTAAATAACTCACAAACCATAGCACAACAAACCTTTCCTAGGTTAATAATATAAAGTTATATAATCCTATAATAAAAGTGCACAGGTTAAAGAAAACAAAGAAACTAAAACAAAAAAGATAAAACCAGACAAAACAGTTGGTTGATTTACATTGAGAAAAGACCCCGGTTCCCCTGGCTTCTCATTGGAGGGATAACTCAGCCAATCACAAACATTGATAATCATTTCACGAGGAGGGCAGAGTTCACTGTACTTGTGAGCTTCGGCATCCGGCAGCAGCGCTGGGAAATGTGAAATACCTTTTAATTCCCACACATAGGACATAGAGGTCATGCTATATAGCGAATTAAAGGGCCACCTGGAGGAATATGTGATTTTCATATCAGAAATTTCATTTGGTCTTTTTAGTCTTGAAGTGGGTTTCATACTCTTGGCCTATAGGGCTATCTGTTTTCGGCACAATGAATGTGACGTCGGCATTGTGAGAGGATCCTGTGTTGGAGGATCCTCATCCGGGCAGAATTTAATTACTGCAAAACGGAGAAACAAAGAAATCATACAAATGTGCATTATTGGTACATTTAGAGAGATGTTAACTTGGTCAGAAATAATGCCATTCCAATCAAAAACACTAAATAAGGAAGAGTAAAAAGATGTACGCCGAAGCCCCAGTTAGTTACAGTAGCTACTAACTACCGGTTGGTGCAAACTGGGTTAGTTGTCCTGAAGCAGACTGTCATATCAACATTGTGTCAATATGTTTCAGAGGAGCTGATATAAAAGCACTACTGCATGAGGAAGACCAGTGAGTGCAAGGAGCTGATGACCTCACAAGTACTATGACCTTTGACACCTCCAAAACCCATGACGAGCCCCAAGAGTTTAAATCACACCCCAGAAACAGGTCAGTCATTGGAGGGGCTTTCCTTAATGGGATGCAGGTTAATGAGAATGGGCGTGTTTTTTAGCATGCAGGCGTTCAACCAATCAGGAGTCAGACGAAGAGTGTGTGAGAGAACTCAAAGGTGAAGTGGGCGGAGCCTGCAGACAGAGGTAGGAGGAGCTTATTCTGGTGGCATTCTATTGATGACACCAGATAAACGGACATTGATTTCAAACTAGACCAAGAGAACTAGGGAGGGTCTCTCTAGCCACAATCACATCCTGGATTATTAAATATATAGATTATTCAGTGAATCTATAGAGCCTACACAAGGGAACGGGGTATAGAGGGTCAACTAATTTGAATCAATGTCAACTGGTAAGATCCCACATTTAGAGACAAAGTAGTCAAACAAAAACCTCATATAAAAACATTTGTCATTTTAGAGCATCTCCCTCAGAAAACCCTGGAACTCATTTCCCCAAACAACACAGTATCAAAATCATGATCAGCATCGGCTGAGAGAGCTCGTCTTTCTCATCTCTCCATCCGCAGGTGCTTTGAAACACCAGTATTACTTCTCTCTCCTCTCCCACTCTCTACACCCAGCGCAAACTGATACAAACAAAGTGTGAATCTATCACTGTCGCTTAAGTGGAACTAGAACAGAATAGTGATTTTTCCCTCCGTGGAGGTTTTTCTCTGATGTGAGCGATAGCCTTGTCTCCATACTGTGTGGCGTGTCTAAAGACCTCGTAGGGCAGCGCAGCACATACTCAACTCAAGCAGGGTTGAGGATGTCCCTCGATCTGAGGAACCAAAGCTCTCCCTCTCTATATCAGAGAGAGGTGGCCTAGGAGAATCCTAGAAGATTAGAACCTGATTACGATCATATTATTAAGAATATATAGTTTTTATATAGGTTACTGGTAGAAAAAGCATAATTGAATTAATCTTCAAGAATTTCCTCGCATCAACCCTGCTTTTAGCATCATAAAGCTAACAATGTGTATGCATTACATGGACTTATCTAACACAAGCCCCACATTTGTTTTTTAATCTGCCTGGCGCTAGCTTGCAAGGGTTAAAGCTTTTTTTAGGATAATAAAGACAGTACATTGGTTGTCCTCTCACATCCACACAGCATCTCAGAAATGAACGACCCTCTATTTGCAATATTTGGAGAAAACAACATACACACAAGGGTCTTTCACCTCAGTGTCGGAGCTGAGATTATACACACACACACACACACACACACACACACAGGCAGGGTTCCAGAACACACGTGCGCAAGGACGTTACCTGACAATATTCAGAGGGTTTCCCCCCCCCCACAATCCCCTCTCTACTTAAAGGGAGAGTGGCGTTGCAGGGCGAGCAAGCCGCTGACAATCTAAAAGAGAGAGAGGGGTTGTCATGACAACGGAGCGACGGGACACAGGTTAGAGACATGAGGAGGAGGAAAGGGTTTTCAGCCACAGAACCACACATAGTTCATTTGAGAGCTCAAAAGGGCCTCCCAAAAGAGAAAGAGAGGAAGTGACAGGGAGAGAGAGATCAGCATTAGGGCGACAGACACAAAGACAGGGCTTTACATCGATTGATAGATAGATGTAGTCGATTTTCAAGTGTTTGGGTCGACAGGCACTTTGCCGAGGTTTTGTTTGCAGAATTATGATCCGGATCTGGGTGCCATTGATTTTTGTGCTCTTTTAGGATCTTTTCTGTTATTACAAAAATCACCATCAATCAAAACTATATTGTATCTGTTCACAGTTATTTTTATCATTTTCTAATAGAAGTTAGAACCTGAGGCACCTATTCTGAAGTGCACTTAATTTGGGTGTGGAGACCGATTTTGTCTTGCTTTCGTTCTCTAGTAATATGGCTCTGAGAGAATAACATATACTGTTTCCGCAGACGTTAAATAACTGCTCTGGTTTAAATGTAGAGCCCTGTAGCACATGTGCTTGTGCAGTGACACACCTGTTTAAAGAGAAAAACGGTTAAAAAGCTCAGTAGCATTTTCAGCTGCAAAGCCATGCGATTGGACCGCCTGACTCTACCGCGTTGGTGTACTAGCATCACAGCTTAAAGGATCCTGAAATGAAACACCTGTGGTCTTAGGTGCTCCTTTAACGCCCACCTCCGACATCATTAATTATCAGCCAACCCGCTTTGAGAGTTTTGAATTTCAGATAGAAAATCCAGCAAATCACACTGGGCTCCCCTAGCAACAGCAGGGGGAGTTTGCATATTGTTTTGTTTCATTTGTTTATGTAAACATTAATGAGCAACCTGATTGGTCAGTGGGTTGCTGGGGCTGGCTCAATCCTGGGGGGCCAGGAGAGAGAGGGGAAGAGGAGCGGGGGCTTTATCGAAGGAGCACCAACGCCAACAGGCAAGCAAAACGAGGAGAGGACGTCAACTTCAGTCACATGACCCTAAAAGTGACGCCCTCTTCACACGTCCCCACCCCCAAAATGCATTACGGTTACCAGGCAACACACCCAGGGGGGTCAGAACACACTAAACACAAAAGCTGCCACCTTTTCTATCCTCATAAGTACAGCACCATGACGGCGGAAAGAAGAGACACCCCATAATATCCACATGCCATACATTATGTCTACTACAGTCCCAAACTTCTAGTGCACACTGTACTATACTGTACATACACATCTGCATTCCCCTAAGCGTTTACACTAGCAGGCGTGAGTGGCCATACGTGGCCATGGGCATACGTATGTACTGTAGGTTAGACACACACCAGGCCCTATGAGGCTGCAGGCTGGGCAGGCAGGGAGCTAAGCGAGCGTAGTGGGGCTCTTTAACACTAAGGCAGGGGAGGACCTCGGGCTCCTCCCCTCTGTACACAGCAGTCCCGTGCTGACAACGCAGCCGCTTCAGTCGCAGTAGATCTTGTACTTCTCGCTGCAGAAGACCAGAGGGCCTCCCAGGATGCCGTTGGGCATGACGTTGTGCTCGTTGGGGCGACCGATGCCTGCGCAGGTGAGCCCGTGACTTACGTGGGGGTTGTTGACGGTGTTGGTCTGGCCGTTGGTGGTTCTGCCGTTGGTGGTTCTGCCTTTAGGTTTGCCCCCGCGGCGGGTCTGCTCGGTGTCAAACTCCAGGTCCTCCAGGCGCTGGGTCAGGGCCAGCTTCTGCTGGATGGCCATACGGAGGAGGGAGTTCAGGGTCTTCTTCTCATCCTCCGCCGCAGACAGCTGTCTCTGCATCTCATCCAGCTGAGTCACATACTCGTCACAGCTACATTAGAAGGAGAGAGAGGGATGGAGGGAGAGAGAGATCACATTAGAATAAGGCATTTGTCTCCAAAGTCAGTGTGATTTCAGTCCTTGAACTTGACATTTACTGCATTTTCACTAGCCATCCAATAGGTGGCAGTAGAAACCTCCACTGTTAACAGCCAAAGGCACAGTGATCTGACAGTGACTGTGGTCTGTATGGGTCACTAACGTTGGTAACGGTCTGGATCTCCATTCAGACTGTTCATATTGTCTATGGCTATTTCTGATGGATTTCACTGCCCTTCGAGCCCACTGAAAACCAATGCAAAAAAAAAAAGGCTACCTATATTCGTCTTGACCTTTTGACCTACTTCCCCAGTGCATGTCTTCACCACTAGATAAAGCCCTTGAGGTGTCTACCAGAGTCTTGCCATCCGGCACTCTACCATTTCATCAGACTATCTCTCCATCTCCCCCAGCACCACTCGGTTCTCCCTGGACCCCACTCGGTCCTAAACTTTTAGTGCTGAGCGATAAGTGCTTTTTGAGGTCGTTCGATTATTAAAAAATAATCATGGTTTTCGGTTTTGATACTTTTTTTAAACATTAAATGCACTATGCATTATGTGGGTTGAATGCTGTAACAACTCAGAATAAAACAATTAATAAAAGTCTCATGATGGTAGTGACTGCCCATTACTGATTATCACTTATTAACCATTTATTCACATTACGTTACATCAACAAAATATTTCAGCTGGTACATTTGTTTTATTTATTGACTATTATTTTATTCCAAGTCATCTCATTTCTATAGAGCTGCTTCCTATGCTGTCTGACAAAATCACTATTTTGTAGTTCTTCAAAGTAAATAAGGCATACTTTTATGACTGCTGAATACCAACTATCAATCACTTAAACCAGTTGTTCCCAAACTGTGGGGTGCACGTTTTTTTAAAGGAACTGAGTGCGGCTTTCAACTTACTCTTGAAAGTTGTAATAGTAGAATGCACAAGGTGCAATTTCCAAATTGGATAGTGCATCATCAGTCTTTTCTCATGTCACGTCAGTCATTGCATACCTTAAAGAGCTATTTATAACTTGTCAGAAATGTCCAGATCAACTAGCCCCTGTCAGCTGATGTTTTTTTATGTCGTTTTTTTAGCCCATAGACTTTGTAGTAATGTTTGAGTCACTCAAATATCACATGAATAAACATTAGACATGGCAAAATGTATTGAATTGCAGGAAATACGTTTTACATTCAAATAATTGAAAGATGAAGGTCAATTCGTTTTTTCAAAACTGAAGAATTATCGAAATGTTGGTTAATGCTCAGCATCCTATTCAAGTTAGAACAATA